GATTTATATATATATATATTCAATCAGGTGAATTCAACAAGTTGAAAATTATCATTTTTTGGTATCATTAAGACACCAACATGTCTAAGAAAACTTTATTGATCAAGAGATTAACTTTCACTTCACATGAGTGTTTTAATATAAGAAGACTTACATACATACCATACAATTGTTGTGTATTTATCATCTACATATCTAACGCCTAAAGTTTAATTTTTATATTTGTCTAACTTTAACCATGTTTTGAAAGGTATATTTCACTTTTAAAGTTAATAATAGTGACAGTTGACACAAAAATTCTGTATTACGAATATTAAAATCAAAGTTCAGGTGTAGATATGTAAATATAAAAGAATTGTGTGATATATTTGCAAATATCCCTTTAATTTAGGTTGAAAATGGTATGAATCTCTCTTCCAAAATACTGTATATTGACCCAAATTTACCCATTCAAAAAAAATATTTAAAAGAGAGAGTTTTGAGATTCAAAATTATCAAGTGTTATTTGCCAACATTAACTATCTGTTGTTGACACTCAGGGTCGGTTTCACGCAGCTAATGATTATTTATAATCTGCTGATAAGCAGATTATTCTGATAATCTGATAATCTGCCTTGTTGTTTGGGACAACTTATTCAGATTAGCTTATTGGTGGTTAAATGACATTCCTGCCTCTGCCGGATAAAACTGTTTGGGGCAGCTTATTCAGAATAGCTTGTTGGTATAACATAAGCATATAGTGCAGAAGCATACGATCATCACAGATGAGTATTAAAAGATGACATACAGTTCTCACACTCTCGTGAGTACTAGAAGAAATAACAAATATACAAATACAAGTACAACTATAATGAGAAATATTAAAATATTTAATTTCAGACTCTGACTACACATGTCCTCATATGCACTGTCAACATGAGAAAACACCAGATTCCATGACTGCTGGCAGTTTAATAGGAGGGACTGTCAGCCCACCTGAAGAATCCACAACGAGAAGAAACACCCTTGACTCAATCGTAGAATTGTCTCTGAGAGCTATGAGATTGACGTGACGTGAGCAACGGAGCCGGTAGACCATAATTCAAGTATTGCCACTATTGCATATGCTATAACCATTGGTGCAGCTAAA